TTGGTGATGGAGGCGTCCGAAGATTTCCCAGCAACGTCATCGCTACCGACAGTCGTGTGCCGATCACAATGCGGCAGCAGAAATAGAAAACTAATTTATTCATCTTTTCTCTTTTCTTTCTTTTTGCTATGTACAAGTTTAATGGAGAAAGCTTTGTGTTGGAAACTATTAAGAATAACAGGCTATCTGTCTCATTTCCCCCTTTAGGTGTTTTTTTTTTAAACATTCAACAATTAAACAGAAATAGATCATCAACCAAACTACATGGCTTTTCTTTCTTTTTTTTCCCAACCATGGATCTACTTTATGAGTTGTCATCCATCATGGCAGGGGGTGGTGGTGGAGGGAGGCAGGCAGGCAATGAACCACCACCCCCACCCCCCGCTCCTTGTCCCATAGACTGAAAAAATACTCCTTGGAAAAAAAACGACAACACAGAAATAGAAGATTTGGCCAAAGGCATGCCGTGGGGGTGGAGGGTGGAGGGAGGGAGTGCGAGAAAGGGAGCCAAAGGACAGGGAATGCGTTGGAAGAAATGCAAAATCCATAACCGCTGGGCGGCCATTCGAAAAGATACCAAAAGCCCCTCCGGGGACATAGAACGTGTCTTGATTCTATCATCAATAAAATGATGAGTTCTAGCATCATCCCATGGTTATAATAACCAAAGAGGCTGAGAAGGGATTAGAAACAGGCAGAGGCTCGCTGTCAAGTCAGACCTCCGTCATCCTGGTGACTTGACTCAAACTCGACTCTGTTGGTTGGTTGGTTTTTTCCCCCATCACTCAAACTTGACTCATTTTTTCTCCCCAATGGCTTGGACTCAGATCCTAACTCAGAACCCAACCGCCCACCCACCCTTTTTTTTCAGAGGAAAAAAAAGATTATTTTTAATAGGGACTCGGGACGTGGTACCAAAGACTCAGACTTGTGACTCGGACCGAAAGATTTGCCAACCTCCCTGGGGACGGGTCTGCCTCGGGTGGGCACCGGAGGACGAATTCTGAACTGGGTCCCTGCAGAACGTTGGGAGGGGTGGTGGTCATGTTTTCTAAAGTTCCCCACAACTGAGATCAAGATATTGTTCTTTGTGGCATCGGACTTTCCTTTCACTTCCAGGCACGTCCACAGCTGAGCGTCCTTTCGGCTTTGGCACAACCACTTCATGAGCTCTGGAGCTACCTGTCCTCTGCTGTTCCTCGGTAGCCTGTTGGACGCCTTCCAACGTGAGGGTCCCATCTTCCAGCGTCATATCTTTCAGCCTTTTGTTTCTGTCCATGGGGTTTTCTTGGCAAAGATACTGGAGTGGCATTGCCAATTCCTACTCCAGGTGGATTGCGTTGAGTCAGAACTCTCCCCTATGTCCTGTCCGTCTTGGGTGTCCCTGCACGGCACAGCCCATAGCTTCTGTGAATGACTCAAGCCCCTTTGCCACGACAAGGCAACAATCCATGAAAAGGGATCACTGCCCTTATTTTCCCTCAAAAAACAAACAAACAAACAAAAAAGGGGTCACTGCCCTTATTTTTCCTCAAAAAAGAAACAAACAAACGAAAATGCTAGGGACTGTAATTTCATCAGGATAGTGAGAAATCTTTGCCTGAGATCCTTATACTGTAGTCCCTGATTCAGCACCCCAGATCGCTACAATATACCCATATTGTAGTGATCTGGGTAGATCTATCCATTGTAGCAAAATGGATAGATCGGATTAGGAAACCAAAGCCTAGGAGAATAGAATGAAGGCCTTGAAGAAAGAAGACTGAGCGGAGACAGGAAGGCACTTTCCAAAGACTTGAAAGGCTGTTCTCCAGAGGAGGGGCAGGATCTGTTCTCGATCCTCCCAGAGTGCAGGATATGCAACAATGATTTCCTTCAGAAAGGATAGGTTTGTTCTCCTTGCAGTCCAGAGGAAGGTTTCAGTTGACTCTCAGGAAAAACTTCCCAACTGTTAGAGCAGTACGAAAAGGGAACCCATGACCTCGGGAGGGGGTGAGTGCTCCAACACTGGAGGCCTTCAAGGGAAACCCCCTGGCAGATCTCCTTTGATTTGTATTCCTGCCGTGAACAGGGGGTTGGACTGGATGGCCTTATGGGCCATGTCCAACTCCATGATTCTATGATTTTGGGACAAGATCTACACATCTGAAGAAAAGAACGGACCATTTGCTCATCACTTGCCTTTGTGTAAGGGACGTGAGTGTATATACCAACAACACAGTTGAAGAAGTTATCACAGAAGAAAGAACAGAGGTGTAGAAGAAAGTCTATGGTCCCATGTCCCTCCCAAATCTGTATCCTGAAACAGAAGCAGTCACGTATTTCTGACGTGTGGCTTCCACTGTCTGCTGCTGGCGGAACAATGGAACACACCTGTTTTGTAGCCACAGGTAGCTTAAACCAGAGGCTTGAAGCAGGGGAGGCCGAGCCAGGTGTCTGAAAAACAGATAGGCGGAGAGAAAATCCAAGAATGAACAGAATTCTCTGTGTGCATTCAGGACCCTGGAAAGGGTCACCCTAAGACAGAATTGACTGGACAGCACATGATAATGATGATGATTGACTCTCTAAATGTCTCACAGCTTGTTTCCCCCACTGATGTACGAACCCATCCTTTATAATATTCACAGTATCAGGAATTCTGATTCATTTGGGTTCTACGGAGCTGTTGCGAAATTGGCACCGGTTGCTGTGTTCATTCCTCCGATGCAAGATAAACCCGCAGGAGGGCAAATCAGACACTGACCACATTTTGAAGTGAACAAAAACGGGGCCAGGAGTCTCTTGCCAAGCCAGAACTTTTCCGAGTTGAGGAAACCGTGGAAAGAATTTTCACAATACCTTTATGGAGAGAACACGGGGTCAGAAAGAGCACGGCACTTTGATGCTGACAAAACTAGATTAGGCATGATATTTTCCATCACGTTTTGCACAGAGGACCAGCCTCACCATCTACAAAGTGTACAAAGTCTGGCAGCTGCTGGGAATGCTTATAGATTGCACCAAATCAGATTCCTGGTGGAGGCTCATAGGATGTATTAGCAAGCAAGCTGTTTTCTATACCTACAATATTAGTACACCAGGAAACTAGCTAACCTAGATGCCACCTCCCTGAGAAGCTGCTTTTCTAATGGCAAGGACAGGTTACCAGTCACAGTTGTTGCTTTGAAGAGATGCATATTCAGGCATGTTAAACCCTGCAGGTGGACGCTTAACTGCTCAGACACAAGCTGGCAAACTACATGAGAGCTAGCTTCGTGTCCCACTTGGGAGAGAAACAGACATTATAGACAGCCTGCCATTTTATTCCATAACTGCCAAAAAGCCTTTGAGTGCACAGGAGAAGCATTGCTCACCTTACACAATTTGCAAACTAGTTTTGTGGGTACTGTCCAGGACTTAAAGCCCCAGAGGCCTGCAAAGTCTGGCTCCTCTAACAGGAGAAGCTGCCGGAATCATTTCTCTCCAACACTAAAGGGCTTTCACCTTTAAGAACCCATGTTCTCTGTAATGTCCCTTCCTGCCCTGTGGTTCAAGAAGTCCTCTTCAAAAAAAATAAGCATGTTGTTAAACTCTCTCTTTCTCTGTACC